GAAACACCAGAATGTGCATGACGTAAAATGTCTACGATTTCTGGCAGAAGCAGCTCCTGCACCCAGCCATGGTGCCTTTGGAATGCTTGACCCATTGCTGTGATGCAAATGGTCAAAAAATGTAATTTTATGTTTCTGCAGAGATGGGAACAGAGCTCTTGAGAACATTCCCAAATATCCTGCACTGTCTTTTAAAATAGGAGTTGCTTTTGCATAACAAATAATTGTCTGAATTGTGACAAACCAGTTGTCTCCTATTCAAGGATTTTTTTTCATTACTTGATTGTAGTTGTTTTGAGACATTTTACGGATAAAAGGTACCTTTCAGTTCACAAGAGAAACCATCATTATTTTTCCATATTCATATCTGGTATCTTTATTATAAAAAATGGCCTTAATGAGTAAATCAAGTAAACTGGTTTTGCTCTCAAATTCCTCTTCATCTTGAAAAACAAAAAAAGCCCAACCAAACTAGAATTCCAGAATTGCAGAATTCCTTTTGCATTTCAGAAAATATCTACTATTGCTTAGAAAGTCTCTGGGAGGATAAATACGAAGTGGTTTTACAAAAAAAACCAAAAAAAAACCAGATGTGAACTGATTGGTTGAAGAACATCAGCCAATAATAGACTGTTTTAAACATTATATTAAGCAACAAAACATCATCTGAGGGAGGGGTAAACAGAGTATTTCTGAGCATCTGGATTTTTTAAATCTCTTCTCCTGAAGTTCTTAGGTAGGTTTGGTGAAGATTTGCTTTTCCCATATCATGCATGTGATTGTGTCTTTTTGTGTTTCCTGTAGTTTCAAATTATGTCCTGTGAACGCAGTGGGCCAAAGATGAATATTTCCCTAAATTCAGCTGTGTTTGATGTGGATTGTCTTCTTATCTTGGTCATGGCTGAATGAATTGGTTCTACCTTCAAGTGTCACTCTGCAAGTATGTCCAAACCCTGCTGCTGACCTGTGATTTTTCCACCTTTGCTGGTTTTCAGAGGTAACAGGAAATCAGCATTACTTCTTATTTGGGTATTTGGCCAATAAACTGATTTTCAAGCATCTTGTGCCACCTCTGCTTCAGAGAGCAGGACTTCGCTGTGAAGGCTTACAGTCCACCTTTTGGGGCTGTGTGGTCCTTGGGGCAGCTCACACTCCATGGCTGGTGCTTTTGTAATAGACTGCAGAGCATGCAAGACCCACTAGTCCCTACTGCCAAATCCTGCTGGCCTCTGTGAGGATCTCCAGCAGTTTGTATCTTGGTGATGTCCCACGTCAGACTGCACCTTCTCTGCTTGTAATCTTGTACTGTCTACAGAATGACCCATTTTCATCTACTCTTGTGTGTGTGACAATTGCTCTTCTCTGCTATATGAGGAGGACATGCTTCACAAGCACAGGGAGTCACCCAGGATGCAATGTGGGCATTTCAGTAGCACAAGATCTGTGGTCAGTACAGAAACAAACCTTCACCTCAAGCATGCTGAACCATAGCACCATGCAGGCTGCAGGCAAAGGTGTCATTAACATATCCAGGGATGTTGCCTCCAGGTGACTACAGACAGTGTTACCATCATGTGCAATCACAGGCAATGTGCTGTGACATTCCCTCATCCCTGACGAAGCTGTTGACCTATGGAGCTTTCCTGTTAGATTAATTTATCCACAGCTCACCTTCAGTGAATGCTTTTAATTGACAACCTAACTGATATACCTCTCACGGAAGATGAACACTGACATCTTGTAGACTAGTTTTGTTTTTGAACTGCAGGCATTTAGGAAGAAACATATTTACTGCAGATGTCAATGCAGAAGATTGGAGCCTGCTGTCCTCAAAAAGGACATGTCAAAGGCTATGGCCGGACCTGGTTTTGCTCCCGTGCTTGGTCTGATTGCCTGAATGTGGCCACCTTGGTCCTATTACCAGGATTTCTGTCCCTGTTTCTAAGAGCTCTTTGGAATGCCACCTCCCTTCGCTGCTTTTCCTGTGCAGAGCTCTGGATCCAGGCTCATCCCCAGCTCTCATGCCAGCCAGCTCTCACTATTAGGACATGCTTATTCCCTTGTGTGAATGAACTTTTCATCAAGAGCAGGGAGCAACAAGAAACATCTACCTGGCACTTGACTTCCAGTTGGGGATCTCACATGCTAAGGGTGAAAGACTTTGGTCTCTGCTGTAGCTCAGTCAGGGTCCATGTGCAGCCTCAAATGGATGGAGCATTGGTATTTTTACATTCCTCCACCTGGAATCTCATAAATGGTGATGGATATTATCCATTTGACTCTTTTACAGGCAAGAAGGAAGGCTCCCTCATGAAAATTCCCATCATACTGGGCGTTTGTCTACTCATTGTGTGAATGTGCATGTTGAATATTCACATTATCTCTAACCTTGTTTACCATAACCAGCCTCTTTTTGCATACATCATGCTTCTGTGGAGTTCTCTTGAGTCCTCAGGGATTCATTCCACTTAATGATAAAACAAAAGATCTGCATTGCTGCTGCTATTGTAGCTTCAAGTGTTTCTCAATACTGTATTGTCTCACACCAGGACACGGTTAAGTAGGATGGGAACTGTATTTCAAAATGGGCATGAGAAAACTAGATGTAATTTGCATGGCTGCACAAGGTACAGGAATCCACTGTTTAGTCTGTCACTTTCTCAAGCTGAGAAACTCTAGAAGAGAAAAGTTCCCAGCAAACCAAAAGCTAAAACAATGTTGCTATTTTACACAATTTAAATTCTTATATAGAGTCAGGGTTACTCAGTTCTAGAGGACAGGACTAGGGAGATGGTCTCTTTGTGATGGTACTTTCTATATTGATTCTTATTTTTCTTGCTGGAGTGCAGCATGTATACTTTTTTCATTGGTGTTTGCATGTGTATATATGTAGACATACGTGAGTACATACGTATGTGTTTATATGTACATACACACACAAGGCCTGGGAGTCCTGCCTATGTCTGCACAAATTCTACTTGAATTCTGAAGACTTATTCTATTAACTTTAACTTTCAGGGCTGATTAATGACTGTTTCACAGCAGAGGAATTATCTCAGCTTTAACTCAAGGCATCAAGGACCATCAACACTGTCCTTAGAGCTCTTGGGGTTTCACACAACATTCTACCTCAAAAGAAAAGAACAGAAACCTCCAAAACTGAAAGACATAAAAAGACAAGATCCTACTGCAAGATGGCACAGACAGCATTCCAAAACTGAAAAAAACCTCTTTCCAGAACCAGAAGATTGTCTGGAGATCAGTGGGCCAGAGCTATGTGCTGTTTCTTGAAGGACATTGATCCAAACATCAAAGGGCTCAACAAGCACTAAGGGCTCCCCAAAAGGGTAAGACATTCAGGTATTTATTGTCTTTCAGAGGTGTTTTTATTATTTTCTGGCCTTTCAGAGTATAAAACAAAGGTGGCTTTAGGATGTTGCTCCACAAAACCTTTGTGTACATTGATGTAGCCCATGAGTTCCAAGGAGGGTGAAACTGGAAGAATCCTGATCTTGGAAAAGACATTGGCTCAGCTAGAGCTGCTGGTAACATCCACAGCCTGAGTTTAGATGGACCAGCGGTAAAGGACCCAGAAAACAAAGGATTTCTGAAACGAGTTTAAACAAAACCAGATGTACAACATTAGAGGAATATATATTTAAATAAAAGCTTAATCTTTAAACCTCAAGAGCATACTTCTCTGGCAGTCAGTGAACTGAATGCAATATAAAACCCCCAGGTAATACAAGGAACATGAGCAACTCCTGCAGGGAGGGATCCTGAGGTGTTTTGCAAGTAAATGGATACAGAGAAGACTAATAATTATCAGTTTGCTGTGAACTGGGGTCTCATTCTCTGGAAATCCCTGCAGAGAAGAATGAAATAGGTTTCCCAGATGAACATGAAGTACTGCTGGTTTGATATTCCCTTCCTTCTGGGCATTAATAGTTTGGGAGTCTTCTACCAGCTTGTTCAGTAAATCCTTCCTCTACTACTCATGTAATTCAATCTCTCCTGCTCCTTAGCTGAGCATGGTCCTACTTGCCTGCAAAATGACTAAGTCCTCAGGTGGCTCAGTAGGCATTAGTTATACTTCAGGGATTTCTCTTTTAAAATTTTTGATCAAAATAATGTGCTTTTCCCAGGTAATGGACAAATGATGGGTCAGTGGCACAAGTACCTGTAATGAATGTGGTAGCAAATGCTAGGCAGGTGCTGTGATCTGTGTTAGCTCCTTCCAGAAAAAGCAGAGTAAGGAGGACTGGCCGTGTCCTTCCACCTCTGCCTTCCACAGCAGCTGCACTGTGGCATCTCTCCAGCTTCTGGCAAAACAACTCCCACCCGGACAATTGTGAATGTTTCATGTGGTTGAAGAGCACTGGAGAGACAGGCCAGAAATTCAGCCTGTTAAGCTAAACCCAACAAATAGGAAATTATCTGCATATAAATATAGTTTATGCTTTTCCACTTGAAAGGAAATCCCCTTATCAGCTCAGTCTCAGTTGAAAACAACTATGGTACTGTGGGCTGAGCCAAGAGTCCTTGCTGAGAGGAATGGGTGGCCTGCCCTGGCAACCGAATCCATGGTTTTACAGCCCTTTGGGGAAGGAGTTTTCCCATATTTTGTAAAATAAGTTGCCAGAGAGCTGTTGAAGGGGAAAGTGGAGCATGGAAATAGCACATGACTGTTCTGCTCAGGCTGATACTGGGAACTGATGCAAAAGGAGGGAAGGAGATGTGAAGTTGGTACAGATTTTTTTGGTTAAATGACTTTTTTTTTCCTCTTTTAAGTAGACTGCCATCCTGCTGCCACTGAAGTCAATGAAAATGTTGCTATTAAATTTCAAGAAAGTAAGAATCATTACAAACTTCTTTGTCTGAATCTTCAAATCTTAGCCCTTCCTGTGTTCTTCCTTACAATGCATTTTTGTCTTAAAATGCTCATAAAGTCCTATATATCTGAAGATTATTATGTAAGAGGTGGGATAAAGTATTTTATTCATTAAAATACCCAAACTGAAGTTCCCTGCTGCAACAGTACAGAACTATCTTAAAAATGAAAACAAACTAGCAACAAAACCTCTGAAACCACCCCAAGGAGTACAAGATGGCAGGAAGCCCTGGTTCCGTGCTCAGAAATTCAGCACAGCCACATACAGAAGTAGTTCTCCATGTATTCATCAGGAACACAGGAACCCGTGAAATTTACCCTAAGTTACTGCCAGGGAATAAACATTTCTCCATGTTATCTGGTGACCAGAAAAGTGGGGTTTTTACCCCAAAAGTGCAGTGATGTGCCTGATAACAGATAATTTGGCAACCCACACTAGTGGTCTCTATGCATGTCTCATACATGTAAATTGAAATGTAAGTTTTCTCTGCAGCCAGCCTGATCCAAGGCATGGGAACAGCAAGTGGCACCTTTCACTCCTGGAGCTGTTCTGCACTGCTGAACCACCTCCTCCCTGCAGGCTGCACAGGCAAAGGCAGGATTTGCTGCTCACAGAGTGCCCACCAGCCCTGTCAGGGCTGGTTTTACGAGCAGCTGTGGTGAGTCCCTCTGTTTTTCTGGGATAACTCTTTATAGTAATCCCAAAGACCCCACACTGGAGCAGTGCAGGAGGGAAGGAGCAGTGACTGAATGGGACTGGAAGGAAAAATGAGCTGACAGCACATTTAAAATTCCTTTCAGCCTATGGTGGAGTTATGAGCAGCACCAACGGAGCCTTTCACAAGAACAGGAGCCACGACCCAACAGCACCACCCACTTCAGGCAAGGACCTGCCTCCTGGTAAGAAGAAGGTTTGCATGGCATTCTCAGCATCCCTAGTCCCTTTCAAACCCTCTGGTCTGGGAAAAGCATTGCTCTCCCATCCCTATCCTGCCCCAACAATCAGAATTTGTTTTTCCCAGTTGAAGAAGGGAGCATCCCACCGCATGAGCCCAAAGAAACAATTTTTATATATCTGTTTTCCACTGAAACAGCATCATCTTCCTGATGGCGTGGGGTCAGTTAAAGTTCTCAAGCTGTGCTGTGGAGGCTTTCTCCACAAAAGCGGGGGTGTTAACCATGGTGGCATGGCACAGCTCCAGCTCCGCTCACACCACTCGGCTCTCCCGCTGCTCCGGCAGCCGGGGCAGCGCACCCCGCACTGTTTAAACAGCTGCCTCGCTTCATCTGGGAGGTGGCTGCCCTTCAGTCCTGGGAGAAGAGCTCATCTTCTGGATAGTTTGCATAACAATTAACATTTGTCAGCTGAGATCTGCCTGGTGAAAGATCACTATTTACAAGTAGGCGGTGAGTCTTTGGAGGCTGCAATACTTCTTGAACCACAAAAAACTAAGCTGAGAGTGGGGAGCCTGAAGGTGGGCTGATTTCACACGGCAGGTTTAAGGAAGAGTTCCTTTTGCATTCAGCTCAGAGGTAGAAAAGCAGAGCTGCCATGAAAGGGGGGATTCTTTAGCTCTCACAGATTTCATTCAGTTCCAATGAAATAAATACATCCGCCTTAAACAATTGAAAGAGGTATTTACTGCCTGTGGTTTAACAACTGTACTAAGTCAAAGGGACCAGTCAACTAGAGCCTTATAATTCTTTTCTAAAGAGAGGATGAGAGAAAAGAATGAGACGACAATGCAGTATTTATAATAAAGATGAAATGAGTGGAACTCAATGGCGCCAGCAACCCTGGAGCTCCTGCTGCTTGGGCTAATGCATTTTGCATTAGCACGTCTGGATATCTGGCACTGGAAGGTCCTGCACATGCTTTTACAAAATAGCAGCATTCTTACAGCAGCAGCATTTCTTCCAAGCACTGCCACTGATGGGTGCAGCTGGGATGGACAGCCCCTGCAGCTGGTTGAATCAGCAGGAAGTTTTCAGGTGACTGAGACTTGTTTGACACTTGCCTTCCTGTGGCCAGGTTGCTTTTTTACCTGCTCACTTCTGCACGTTGCCAAGTGGCTGCACTGTGACTCCCTGATGGAGCACTCACTTGAGCAGGGGTGGATGTAAGGGCAGCTGTCCCTGCCTGGGAGCTGGGGGCTCACAAAGGCAGGATTCCTGACTTCTCAGGTTATACTGGGGGGCTACTGGGCACATAGACATCATGTTGAACATACAAAATTACATCTGTAAGTAGGTTTACTCTGCATAGGCTAAATAAATAACATCTGTGTTACAAGAACTCCCATGTGATCTCTATCCCATACTACTCCATTACTCCATCAGCTAATCTTGCATTTGCCTTGGAAGCAATACAAAATCCTCAAAGGAATTAATAGCCAGCAACTGCAGATCACCCAAGCAATTTATTTTTCATTCTTTCCCCTACCAGACTGGAGAGATACGTGTCTCTCTTCTTCCTGAAACCTGGATTTGAAAAGATCTGTGTTACCTCATCTTCTCCTAGCCTTGCAGAACAACAGCATTAGCAGTAATGAGCAAAGCACAGCAGCACCTTGGGACAAACTCTGGGACAAATGGAAAGACCACCTGGGTGTAATGTTGTAAGAAGCAAGATAGCAAATGGTACTTTCTTTTCATAACTATTACATTAGAAATGACAAATTCATCACTTCAGGGTTTTCTCTAGGTTTTTGACATATACAAATAATTTCTTGTTCTAAGTGATACCAGAATGTATTCAATAATACTTAAAATATGGACCTTGGCTGTTTGTTTTTCTTTCTGTCTAAGCCTCTCTTACATGAGCTTACCTCTGCACAGAAACAGCACAGAATTCTGTGGGGAAAAGAAAAATAGTGCTAGAAGCTGCCAAAAAGTGTGGGAACAAGTCAATGATGAGTGAGGAAGGCAGAAGGAAATGACTTTATGAAGCTGTTGTCCTGATTTCACTATGCTTGAATCCATCTAAGAACAGGACTTCTTTCCAAAAATACAGCTACTCCCAGCCTTTGACCTCCAAATGGGGTAGCAGCAAATCTGGGGTAGCAGCTATGAGCCCTGGCACCTTGATCCCAGCATCAAACCTTGTGTTCTTGGACAAATTATTTTTGCCTTAAATTTTCAGCAACATCTTTTGTTTTCAGTAGCACATTTTGGTGTTAAACTCTACAAAATCTGCTCTTACTATCTTGACCTCCTATATGGAAAACAGTTCTGGGAGCCATGGGATGTTGTTCAGTTACCATAGCACAATGCCCAGAACTTCTCTGGCAGTGGTAAGTCCAAGCTAAGCTCCTTTTCACTGCCAGCCTCTCACACATCATGGTGACTTCACCCAAACTGGAGGTGAAAAGAAACCAACATCTGCCTTTGTTTTAAGACAACCCTGGTTAGAGTGTCTTGCAATGAGTTACCTAAACCAAGGCAGGCTGAGACTTTTGGAGAGGAGGATGGCACCCCAACAGAAGCTGGAGCTGTGGAAGGCAATTAGGAAAAAGGCCTTTAAATACCACAGGTGAGCAATAGCTCAGCACCAGGAATACAGAGCCAAAGGGTTGGTCTCCAGAGCAGGCAGAGGCCCCAGGTTGTGACTCCCCACATTTAGGCTGTTGAGTGTGGTCAGAATATGGCTTGGATCTGGAGGTGAGGTCTGGACTGAGGTTTTGACTTGAGTTGTTGCTATTCAGAAAAGTTCCCGGGGGCAAATGTATTATGCTGAGCAACCTCTTCAGGCTTCAAGTCTGAATTGGTGTCCATGAGGAATGTGAAGTATTCAGCAGGTTAGTCATTAGCTGCTTCCAGGAGGATGTGCTGCTGGCCTGGCTCCACAAGCTCCCTGGGGATGGGCTGAGCTTTAACTTTGCCAAGTGTTTTAGAGAAACATTGGACAGCCTGGGGCTGCAGAAAGCACACATTGGGGCAGAGTCCTGCACTTCCTCATACAGAAAAGCCACAATGTGAGATTGGTGCTAAAGGAAGAACCTCTTGGAGCCAGTTCTGGGTTCTCAGGAAACAGGAAAACTCCTCGTGTTCCTGCCCTAACACATCCTCAGCACTACTTTCTAAAGGGATGCATTTCAACATTTTCTTCAGGCATCAGTGCTTTTTTTACCATCTCCTGCATTATTACATCTTTTCCTTCTTTTCAGTGTAACCACTGTCTCAGAGAGTTTGAGCTGCTGCTCAGCTGGGACTGGAGAAATGGCCACAGAGACATACAGTTTGTGACAGGTAATTCTGATTTATGCCACTTGGTGCTATCACACAGGGCTTTGAAAACAACGTGTCCCAGTGCAGCCACATGTATTTTCCTGTCTGCTGCTCTGTGAAGCCTGGAACAGCTTAAGGCTTTGTATCCTACTCTGCCTGGAGCACAGTATCCTGCTAACGCTAAAAGGCATTTTGACAACCTGCATTCAGTATTCTCCTTCCTGCAGGAGATCTCAGCAGCAAAATTGTCAGAGTCACTGGTCCCGGCTGAGTACATATGGCAACAGACTGTGCTGAGGGAGTTGTGTTTTCCCACCTGTGGTTTACTGGGGGAGAAGGGGCAGCAGGTTTTCCTTTCAGGTGGTGCCTGGAGCAGAAACAACTGACCTGGGAGTGAAAGGCCTAAGGTGTCCCTTGCTGTTCCCTCAGCTTGAAGAACAGTAACTCATTGCTTTAGTAAAGAACCAGTCCCAAATAATGCCCTGGCCTCACGATGGAAGAGCAGGAATCCCAGTGGTGTGATGGATCTGGCACTGCCCCCAGAAATGGTCCATGTGGATCCCACCAGGGAACAGACATTGTGCAGGAAGGGAAGTCTCAGAAATGCAGCTCCCTGGGAGATTAGAGAATCACCCAAGACAGCATTTTGAAGATAGCCTGGAAGAGCAAGAATGGTGGGAACTCTGCATGACCAAGATCCTAGGAATGGGGCAAAAAGAGGGAAAGGATGGGTGTAAGATGACTCCTGCAAGGAGACACAGAGTGAGGCTTCTGCATCCCCCTGCTTGCTGTACAACATGGCTGTGAGCAGCTGTACCTCAGCTGTGAGGTAGGGCAGGGGAGTGCCATGCTGACTCCAGGAGCTGCTGTGCTTTTGGGGTGTTGCCCACTCTATGAAGTGGCTTTGGCAAGGCAGCAGATGCTAGGTCCTCAATCCTGAGTGCAGAGGCAGGGACTGTGCCCTCCTGAGCATGCTGCACATGATGGCATCCAACCATCAGGGCACACATTCAGCTGTGGATAGGTGCCAGCTGTGAGGGCAGCCCCAGAAGGAAGGCTCCCTGCTTTAGGGTAGATCACCATGTTACCTGATTTGTCTCTTTCTGTGGTTTTGACAGCTTTGCACATATTTCCATTGGGCTGTTCTTTGCTTTTGCAGTCACGTGTCAAGAACAGTCAGGATACATAAAAACAGGAAAGATATTTAATCTTAGGGTCATGAGAACGACACTTGACTTAGCAGAGCTACTCATCTAGTTGCTTTTCTTCTAATATACTTGGTTTTTTTTTTCAGTACTGACAGTGTTTCAAGCATCTGGATTTCAGCCACAGCTCCTGGTATGAAGTTTTAGACAAGTGATGGGTCAAGGTACATCTTGAGGGGACTATGGTAAACTAACAAATTAAACCCTCTCAGAAAAGCTTAGGACTTGCTCTTGATATCTTTCCATCAATTTAGTCTTTTGTCATGAAATACATTCTAGAGTCTCTTAAGCAAACTGGTGTGATTTTGTTCATTGCACAATTTTCTTCAGCTAGTGAATATTAATTCCCCTATTGGATCAAATAATTAGAATAATGCAAATTGACCCAAATAACATTTGCAAATTAAATGATGCCTAAGTACTTTACAATAAACAGATCAAGAAAAATACATTCATTTTAACATCTGAATTCTTTGTATAAGCAGAATCAAGAGGCAGAAGACCAGAAGGAATTTTAAAAGTTGCAATAACCCTAAATCCTGGGTCATGCAATTTGAGCTCTGCCATTGGAAAACTATTGTATGTCACACATGCTGCGCTTTAAAAATGGAAGTTCAGCCCAAACCTGGGCTGAACTTTGCAGTGGTGCCTCTGCTTTAGAAATGCTTTCACTATCATTTACAGGGGGATCACCCTTGCACAGCTCTCCCCACTTTGGCAGTGGACCAAGCGAGCCTGCATTTGGCATGAACAGGGAATGGCCCTGTCCCACCAAAATCTGAAATGCCACTTGGCACCATCAGACCGCATGGAGCTTTCCCAAAGCTGCTTTGCAGGTGAGGAGCAGAAACCCCTTGTTTCAAACTCCTGCATTATCAGAAAACTTCTAGAGTTTCTCTGGCATTCATCACACCCCCACAATCTGTCTGGGCGAGTGAGAGCTCCTTGCAGCAGGATCGGGTTTTATCCGGCACCGGGTACACTGATAACCCTCCCTAATCAGTCGCTGATCTCTGCCCGGTGAAAGCACTGCCTGTGGTATTTCTGCTGAAGCTATTTTTAAATGACAGTGTGATATTTTGTTTTCTTTCACCCATTTGTCAATGAAGAACTGGCTCTGCTGTGCGTCTGCTCTGACAAGAAACTTCCAGTTATTTTTCAGCCCGTTCCAGCTGGGATGGAGGCCGGGCTGGAGAAAGTGCTGTCTGCAGGCAGGGTGAGCTCTCCAGGGAACAGTGACCCTACAGCCCTCTGCCTGTCGGGGTCCCCTGGGTCCAGCTGTGGGAAAAGCCTTCTAGGTTTCTTCTGACTCTGATCTTCATGCTGCTTTAGGCTGGCTTTCACAATTAGGGTTATTTTATGTTTAGCTGAGTTGCTACTTGCATGAATGTTGGGGTTTTATTTGGTTTGGTTTTGTTGTTCTACCCCTTTAATTGCACTAGGCTTTCAAGGAGTTATGTTTTTATGTTTAGGTTCTGAATGGCCTCAGAGCATGAGCACCTAAAAATTGAAAATTAAAACCTGCCATGTCCAAATGGCATTACTGCATGGACAATTCACATCTCATCTCATCAAATGGCTTTCCCAAATGGAGATGTAACAAGTTCCACCTCTTCATCCAATCACCTGGACATCATTGCATGTTTCACAAAGGCCTGCATGTTTCACAGATAATTTCTCTCAAAAATGTGTTCTGGATTGGCATTGGCCACTTTCCATCCCTTTGGTTTCTTCTGGATGAAGGAAATATAAAACTCCTGCTGGAATTTTGTTGATTCCCAAGCCCTCCATCCTTAAGCACTGCTGGATGGCAGTCGTGCCACAGCTATATACCAAGGTTTTCTAACCCATTAAATTCAGACACAAATGGCTCACAGAAGATAAAACCCTACTGAGAAATACAGGCTGTCTATGAGTGTGTGGCTATCAGATAAAAACATGCCTAATTAAGTCCTAGAAAATTATATTCGCTGTTTTTGAGTCCTCTGTTTATACCTGGGCCCAAGATTTCTGTTTGATCCCAGGGATTCATAAGGATTCATTCCATCATCTTTCTTTACTTATAACGTGTTCAACACTGGATTCCTACAGAGCTAATCCCACAGACTTCATCAAGATTACTGCTTGGGTAATTCATTCCAATCTAAGAAAAGGTGTTTTGACCCAGTAGAGACCAAGTTTTCGGAGGGGAGCCAGTCCCTGGGATCAGTCCTCAGAGCAGAACTACATCTTTACTAAAGTTTGCTGCCCTGATCCAGCAGATTCAGCAAGTTGGGGCAAGAGGGAAAATTCCATCCCTTCTTAACCTCAGCTATGCCAATTCCCAACAGCTACTGAAACTGGTTTTTACATTGCCAAGTCCAGTAGAACTGGATTGAAACCAGTATGCTATTGTTTTTCCCACTGAGAATATAACTGATACTCTAAAATCTCCTGAATTTTCTAGTTTGCAATACAGAAGCCATTGGGAAGACCAGATATGGCCTTATTTGTTAGATTTTAAAGATATGTTGGACCCTAATAATTTCTGTTACTTTTAGTTAAGATCCCTAGGCAACAATAATGGAAGCTGTAAAAATATGTCCCTTATTCATCATGGCTTTACGTCAGAGGTTTACTGCTCTAATCATTAACTAGCTGCTGCATTATCTATGAAAATTGCTTGGTAATATTTATGAAATGTGACCTTTGTTAATTCAATGTTACGAAGTGTTGGATTCATTCTGTTTGCAAGTGGAACATATTTCCAAATCACTCTGCAATTAGTACAGTTTGATCTAACCAGCCTATCTCTGCATGGGGTAGGCTCCTACTGAAACAGCAGGATCGCTGTCAGCAATGAAATGTGTTTTCCGTACAGCTGAAAGTACGGCTGTGACACCTGCTTGCACTACATCATCTTTGGCAAAGGTAAGTGCTGAATGAATATTCACAATAAGGGAAAACAGTAACCAGACTTAGAAAGATTTTTGTTGTGAGAAATACCTCAATTGACAAAAATAAAAATGTTTGTGGCCAAAAATGGTTGCTTTGTATACTAGTGTAAGGGGAAACAAAAGGAAAATGGGACAATGTTAGGCTGAAATGGGCACGATTACCCATTCCACAATGGATACAGATAAAGGAATTATAAGAAACAACAGGAAAATTCAGGAGTCCCATGGAGTCAAGATGGTTTTCTGCATGATTCTCTAATCCACCCCCAAGGCCACCATTAGGCATGGACAGTGTCCTTCCCTACCTAAAAAGTCCACATTCCTGATCCACCCAATGCTGCCATGAATTTCTGATTCTCACAGTCATACAGAACAGCCTGCAGTGCCTCAGACTATGGGGTGTTTTGAAGGAACCAAGTTTCACCGGAGCAACAAATGTGCCGGACGAGCACCATGCAGTGAAGCCATGTGGCAGCATTCAGCAGCAGATCGCCAGGAATGTGTAATATCTGCAGCATTAATATCGTATTCTTCCATTTCCCAAGCTCCACATGGTCAGTGTCCATTTTCAATACTTTCAATGCTTACTCCAGCTGGGACTGTCTCATGTGACAACCACACTGGGAACAAACTGAGCATCTCCCTGTCTCTGCATTAGTCCCCTGAGCTTGTCCACTAGTGATGTACAAAATTAGGGCTTGGTTTGATAAACCAAGTTAAGCTCTGATGAAATCTCTATGCAGATGTGTAAAATATACCAGTCTGGCTGTGTGTTTTATTTTCCTCTAGCATGACAGCTGACTGTGCTTTCCTTTGTAGGAAAAAAGCATTCTCTTGGTTAAAGCAGGAGCTAGAGAGCCACAGAAACACCACCCTCATGTTCTGCTTCCAGTCTGGAAACAGAAAGGGAGGTTGGGACAGATTTGGGACAGGACAAGCAGCAGGTCCTCATCCAGGACAAGGTAGAGCAGCTGCCCTGCAGACAGCACGGCTCTACCAGACCAAAGCTTCTTCTCAGGAGGAAGGTGTTCAGGTCCTCACAAGAGTCCTGCCTTTCAAACCGGTGCTTTAACACATCTTTTTCTATATATGAACTGGTAACCATACTAACCTACAGGACCTGAGTAATTTGATGTCAAAGCAGCAGCACAGGTTGCAGAAAACTCTGCCCATGCCCTGCTCCAGTCAGTCCTCCAAGCCTGCATGCTGCCTGTAAGCCTGGCCAGCAGTGCTTGATGAACCTACCCTCTTCCTTTGCCCTTGACAATGTGCCAGAGAAGAGAAGACCTGCTAAGGAAACAAATATTGCCTGTGAATGACATAGGCTTCTTGGCATCTGGCTGACAATTGTGGCACTCATTGCCAGAACTCACCAGAATCAGGGATTCCTCTTTCCTCCCTGTCACTCTGCTGTTTCCCAAGGAAAAAGAACACATTTGAACAAGGAAATAGCAAGCAAGAAGCTAGAGACCTGTACAGGCTGTTATGATCTGAGAACTGGGGGGGAAAGGGCTCTGTAAGTACTGGTACCATGAGCTGCAGCATTCCCTGCTAGCAGCGGTGGGCTCTGACAGGCTGCACCCACCACCAGCCCACCTACCCTGCAGGTTCAGTTCTTTGGATGCCCTTCCCATTTCCCAGAATTGTGATTCCCAGAATTTCCCAAATTTGGAAGGGGTTAAATCACGTGGTCTGAAGCAACTGGCAAGAAGGAGAAGATTTGAGAGTGAACATGTGAAACCAGGGAGAAAGGGAGCAAGCAGCTGTACTGATGGGATGAACTCAGCCTCTCCAGGTGTCCCAGGAACACAAACATGTGACAGCCAATGGACAGGCAGTGACTCTGGCACTCAGAAATGAGGGCACAACAGCACAGGCATAGCTGCTCTCTGGCTTCTTGCTGGGGCTCCATTGCATGCACTTATTGCAGTTGCATGTGCCCACCGTGCAGAATGGATGAAGTCCTGGTTATCCCACAGCTCTGAGGCAGGCACAGTTCCAAGGAAAGAGGGAGGCTGGGAGAGAAGATGTGATCTGGCCAAAAGCATCCCCAGGGTCCTGCTGGAGAGCAGTGCTAGAGCCAGGTTCCTCCCCACTGAGCTGAGCAAGTTCCTCTCTGCAACAATCAACGCAATGTTTTCTCTTCTCAGAATCATGGATTGCTCCATCAGACAAAAGATTTTCCTCCTGCTGGGTCCTTCCTCAAATATGGGGCTTTCTTTACCATCCACTGCTGTTCTGTTTCAGCAAAAACATGTGAGTGTTCTGTGAGCACATCCCTCATCTTCGTAATGTTTATGACATCCCAGTGTGAAATCCCCATTTGGTTTCAGGTCTCCTCCTTGCCTGTTTTTTCCAACCACTCAGCATTTTTGAGCTTCTGAAAGTTTAGGAGTTTCTATGTTTTTGCATAATTTGCACATGAAAGATGTGGTTTATCTACTTGTTTCCTGTGAAACACAAAGGGCTGAGAGATTGGGGGAGTGTGTGGGTTGGGGTGGGGTGTGTAGATAAGACTC